TTTTTTTTTTTTTTTTTCAGGATAAGCAAAAGGCAAGGATGCATCCTTCAATGTACCAGGATGACTTTCTTGATCACCAAACCCCATACAAATTAAAATCGAGCGACAGAGCATCTAATTCGCCGAAATCCCATTTATGCCATTGCTGCAATTCAAACACTGCTCGGAACAAAACCATCGATCAACAGGAGGCAAACAAGGTAAGTAGTAGCCCAAAAGCACCCGTGAAATTAGTTCTCACAGATGCGGAAAAACAATCCAAAATATCAAACGGTAAAAATTCTTCCTTGGAAGTTTCGGTTGAGAAGAAAGTTTCTGTGGGCCCTCTCCATCAAGCCGTAGTCCCTGAATGGACTGGTGTAATTTCTGAGAGCGACTCCAAGTGGCTCGGTACAAGAATGTGGGCCCCAACAGATTGTGAAAAAAAGTCTATGCTTGATAAGATGGATTCTATTGGGAAAGGAAGGTCTCATTCTTGCGATTGCGTTTTTCCGAATTCTGTCGAGTGCATTAGGTTTCATGTTGCTGAAGAAAGGCTTAAACTAAAACGTGAACTTGGTGTAATATTTTACCGTTGGCGATTTGATCGAATGGGTGAAGAGGTTTCGCTTTCTTGGACAGAAGATGAGGAGAAGATATTCAAGGACATGATGAGATCGTACGCTGCTTTTCCGAATAAGTTTTGGAACAATTCTTTTCGGTTCTTGCCTTCTAAAACAAGGGAAAAATTGGTGAGTTATTACTTCAATGTTTTCCTTGTCAACAAGAGAAGCTACCAGAATCGAGTAACACCGAAAGATGTCGATAGTGATGATGACGAAAAGGAGTTTGGGTCGGTGGGTGGTTCTTTCGGATATAAAGCACTTTACGTGCATGGTACGAGTTCAGTTTCATGCACCCTTAATCAGGAGTCATCATACAAACTCGTGTAGTCAAAGGTTCGTTTTTTTTATCCTTGAGATTTAGCTTACTTTTTTTAAAAAGAAAATACAATTCCATTTATCATTTAAAATTACAAACACCCCATTTAGGTTTGTATTTTTCTTTCTTTTCTCTCCGAAACAAATTACCTCGTCGAGGAATTACAATTTGTAAAATTAAAATCATACATCTTGGTATAGGTTATGTTTGGTAAAACTTGCTGATAAGCTAGCTACATCTGAATCTGAATATAGGTTATGTTTGGTAAAACTTGCTGATAAGCTAGCTTATAGCTTATAAGTTATTTTCCAGCTTATAACTTATATAACTTTCAGCTGAAAAACTAGCTTATATATAAAAATGTTTGGTAAAGTTAGTTGATAAGCTAAGAAGCTTATGAAATAAGCTCGTCCTACCAAACGAAGTTTATTTGAATACAAGAAGTTTATAAGCTAACCAAATAAACTATAAGCTAGCTTAATTGTCTACCAAACATAACCACAGTGAACAAGGTATTTGTAATTTTGAATGGTAGCTTCGAGTTACTTGTTGACATTATTTTTTCTAAAAGGAAGGACAAAATCTCGATGACAAAGTTAGCCATTTTTTCTCACAAAAATCCTTGCTTCTTTTAACCAATTACAATTTATTTTGGGTGATCGAAGAAGTTATTTGGTTGTGCTCTAGATATGGTGGATCGTTCGAAAACTTCCGTACTATGGAAACAATTTTGAAGTAGCTCGTGGGGTCAATTTTGGAGTGAATTACGATTTGACTTGTAAATACCCTTCATAGCTATGGCGGAAGCTTGATTACCAAGTTTTGGTTTTACTTACTTTGATGTAGAGAGCCATCATGTCTAGATGTTTCTTGTCAAGTTGAGACTTTGTACTCTCTCGACACCACAGTTAATGCTATTTCAAACTAAAGTTTTTCCTATGTTCTGCCCGCTATTTCAAACTATGTTCTGCTCAACCTTCTCTGTATTGTTCCAATTTTTCTTTTGTTTTGCTTAATCTTCTCTATATTGTTACAATTTTTCCTTTGTTTTGCTCAATCTTGTTGCTTGATGTTGTTGTCTGTTGATACTTTGTGATAAATGCTAGTGATTGAAATGTTGAGCCCTTGTTTTGATCTTAAGGAATTCTATTACCCATTCTTCATACCTTTGGTTGAGATATCTGGGCTTTAATGTGTTAAGTGTTTCTTATGATAGGATAGTGATATACATATCTTGAAAAACTAGAATGTACATCGATGGGCCAACGTGCTTTAAGCACGAACGTAGTTTTTGAGAAACTTTTTAGGAGGCACTCATCTCACAATTGCCGCAAACCGAGCACATTCAATTTTGAGTAAATTATTATTTTACTGAGTATGGTATCCCGAGTTCAGGTCGATCTATCAAAAAAGACGGTTCGAAATCTAGAGTTGGTGTCGATCATACACACACAAAAATAAAGATCCCTAAACATTATAATCATGATTGGTTTGTTAAATTATTTTAAAATTATCAACTGGAAAAACAAATAAATAATAATAGAGAATGAGAAGAAGGTGTAGAGCGACGAAATATTTCATCAAGTTCCAAATCTATAATGAATGTCTATTTGTTCGGTTAAGTGATTCGACATCTCTACACGCCTAAAGGTTTACGTGCAACTAAAAGCTGAAAAAATTAGGGGGACAGATTGGAAGTGTCTAGAACTGAAACTAGCTACGCTAGAAACTAAAGAACTAAACTCACAACACGACAGACACGACACAAACGCTAGAATGACTGCAAAACTCTCAAAAGGAGAATAAGCCATCCCAAAAGGATAATACCCGCTCACACTCGGGCTCATACAGAGGCCAACGACACAAACAAAAACCGGGAGACTTAACAACTAAAACAAACAAACAACACACCTAAAAACAAATCAAAACAACAACTAATAAAACGACTACTCCCTCAACAGAACGACCGAACTTAAACAGTAGACGAAAGACGACTCCTAGGAGAGATCCGAATCTCAAGAACCACGCCCGCCACTGCCAAATTGCCCAGCAAGACGTAGACCCAAGCCCCTAACCCAACCAAAAGCCAACCCACTCTCCAGCGAAAAGAAGCCAATATTTCCCCCCAAACCATCACCACCCCGAAACCACACCACTAGCCAATTCCGGCAACGCCAATCTTCCCCCCAACTCAACACCAGAGAACAAGGGAGAAGGGAGCAAGAATGACATCAATGCCCCAGCCACACCGAAACAGCCAGCTCGAACCATAGGCGCCCCTCCCAGCCCCCAGAAATAAACCTCGGCCCATCTGCACCGCAGATCCAAGGAGCCGGCGACCAGAGATCGCAAAATGACACCCGCAAGAGACAACAGAATCCGGGAGCAAGGCCATCTGTGAAGGCAGACGAAAGGAGATGCCCTGAGCCACACCCAGCTGCCGCCGCTGCACCCCTCCCAACCCCAACCCCCAAAAATTCCAACGTACATCAAGCACGAACCGACACCGAGAAATCAACAGTAGACGCCGCCCTCACCCCTCGGTCTGAGGAAAAAAGGAAAAAGGCGCCGCGAGCAAAGACGAGGGTGTGCGACGAAGAGTTGCCCACCGGCGAGCCCGATCGGCTGTTGAGGAAGGCACCAGATCGGCAAGGATAAAGACGAGCGATGGTGGAAAGATGGGGCTGGAGGAGAGAAATTAGAGCTATATAAAAGAAAATTTTATTTAATCAATCGGGTGACTGAATTAGGTTAATGCTCACTATTAGTTGATATTTAATATAGTTCAAAAACGTGACACAAGTGAGGTTGATCTTAGGTGATTGAGTTGTGGATCAATGACACAACTGAAGTTGCTCCAAGATGAGCAACTTATGGGACACTTTAACCAGACCAAAACAGTTGCTCAATTAAATACAAATTTTAATACTAAAAATACTTTATACAATACATGTAATGTAGTTCATACTCCCAATAATCATATTAAGAATGCTTTTATAACAACATGTTCAATGATTTATGAACAATTATATATTATTTCTTTTAACATTTATGTGGACAAAATAATCTTACATTGCAATTTTATTAATGTACGGTAAATCCAAAGTTCTCAGAAGTGGACCATTTTCAAACCGAAAGTTATTTATTCAGTGATTTACTGATTTCATCAAAATGCAATATATTAATATTTTATAATAAATTTATTAAAAAATACTAATTAAATATTTAAACAATTTAAAAAACTTTAAAGTTTAAACGAAAATGATAAATAATTTATAGATCTCTAATTTATTTATATTAAAAATAGTTTCAAATATAAAAAAAATTATTCAAAAAATCGTATCGTTACTACTCGTCCGACCGACTGGTGTTGACCTGTTCTCTAGCAAACATTTTCTTCAAGCGAACTGGAAAAGTCGATAAATAGATTCTCGGTCCATTCGGTCAGACTGTTCGGTCCTGTCCAATTTTGAAACAGTGGGTAAATCATAATTAATGTTATTTATATATTTAATCTAAAATACAATCGTAATATTGTTCCACGTGCATCGCACATGCCACGTACTAGTATTATAATAAAAAGAGTGACAAATGTTTGTCATGTATATTTTCAATAACCAATTTGTAGATTGTTTTGGTTGTGTAATAAGTCTTTATCTACTATTTCTTCTTCATTTGAAAAATTAATTACTGAGAAACCAAAGGTAATTTGTTGTTACCATGCCTTTTTAACATATATGAATATTTTACACAAGCCACATACTTTAAAAAATAATATAATATTAAAAGATTTAGTTTTGGTAATAAGTTCAAAAATAATATATTGAAGATATGTTCTTGCAAGTATAACGAATAAAAGGGAAGTTCTTTTATTTAAATTATATGCTCGTATATTCCGATCATATAATATATATTTATTTATGTATGTGATTATTTAAGGAAGACTTGTTTGATCTTATGTTGATATTCTCTTGTAGGATCGGATATGCATGGACGAGAAAAGAGGCATGCATGAAGAGGAGATATTTGGAGAGAGAAGAAAGAGATCCACACTTACCATGTCTCTTCTTATCTTACTTGGAAGGAAATCGGATAAAGATGGATTTTGCTTGAGGAATAGTCCACGCCTAAGGATCATATAAATACCCTGCTTGAAGTTCGAAAAAGGCTGCTGACATTATTATCATTCATACGATATTCGAGCTTCAAGTTTTCTGTTCGTTGTTCAGTTTTCAGTGTTCTTATGTCATTGAAGAACTGAATCTATTTTTTGTTTTGTCTCTATTTTTTTTTTATTCGTTCAAACACTTTTGTGATTAGTACTTAGGAATTAAGTAAAGTTTTTGCTCGAGGGATTCGAGAGGCTGAAGTCCACGAGACATGGCCAGAGAAGTAGTTGGTAGAATCGAGTGTAGTTGTGGCTAGGCTATGAGGGAGTTCGAGTTTTTGTAAGTCCAAACTATATACTTGTGCACAATCTGTCTATCAACGAAAGATCTCTCAGGGGAGTGTGACGCTCCTTGAAGAGTTTATATCTCTTGTGTTGTGCTTCCGTTATTTCAACATCTTTTTGGTGTTGCAACGCAAAATAAAATTTACAAATTACTTTGTGTTTGCATTCTTTCACTATTTAGCGCACTCATCATAAAATACCCACGTTTCAAATATATTTGAATATAAATGTTATTAAATTATAAAAAACATATAAAGAATCCTCGAGTGAAAAGGCCATCTCAAAATAATCTTTCAAGCCCATCTATATATATATAATAAGGTTGTTGGAAAAATCATTTTTGGAAACTCAAAAAATAATCCTGACTTTCTATATTTAGATCCATGTTAAAATTCTGATTTTTCTTCCTTTAAACATTATCGTGGCAATTTTTTTTATTTTAACTGACTGCTTAAAAATCTGATAAAATAATGCACCAACTGTACAATTCTGTTACAGATTTACGCCATTTTTTTTGTACTCCATCAAAATCGCACGTGAGAAACCCAAAAATCTGTA